ACTTTTCTTTAAAGCAGGTGAGTAGCTTTCGTTATTAGAATGCATTCTTTCCTACTAAGTTTTGTTTGAATTGGTTGAGAGAGGTTAACAAACGCTGTTCGATTATCTCTGGTCAACAACCAAAATCGATTCGTTCCAATTTAATGTGTATTTGAAAGATACAGCGACATCAAGAAGCTTTTACCAACCAGAACATTATTTTTTGATTATTTTTTCAAAACAAATTCGCTTTCAGCTTTTTTGCTTTTTTTAATACACGCGTAGATCAACAAGAATACATGAAGCGTATAAACCAGTCCACTCCTCTCCTCGTGAGTAAGGGATGCCGTATGAAGATTCGGACCTAAATATAAAATTTGTTTCGTTTGCATTTTCTATTCTTCGATAGAGATACACGTCTGTTCTATGTACAGTGTACATAGAACAGAATAAGATAAAAAGAAAAGAAAAGTGTCATCAAACAGAACACAAGTCGCAGTAAGGTGCTCCAAATTCAAAATGATAATACTATTTTATTTTTGGCTTAATCATACACCATTCGATAGAGAATTTTACGCTGATCAAGATTATCTGGTTTTTAAGCTTCCCAGTTCACATTATCAGTGGAAAAAATTCAAAAAACTTGACGAATCTCTTTTTTAGAAAACCACTAACTTTTTTTAAAAACTGAATAACTTGGTTCAACCTCATATCGAAGCCGTGAAACTATGTTTTTGCTGGTCGATGCGTGTTCACAAAAGTCGAGTAGTTTTAAGGCGGCAGATTTAGTAACTGTCGTTTGGACATACGACGTTGGGGTGGAAGACATGAGGCCAATAGCAATCATTCTTATTTTGAAGACCACGAACGCGTCGATGTTATTACTCACCGGAAAGAATTCATTCAGCATTTTTTATCAAGAAAAGCTGAATATTATACTATAACAAATGATGAATCTCCCAAATGGATTATACCCACTACACCACACCGTACCATTCTTATTTGTAAGTGAAGAAAATGTTGCTTTTTCGAAAGTTCTCATCCAGATATCTTTATTTCTTTTGTGTGCTTCGATATATTTCTAGGTCACGACGAAAGCATTTTTCGTAGCGGTGAAATTAGCCCACATCGATGGATTATCGACGACAATGCACCATTCTTCAGTAAAGGACGAGGTTGTAGTCACATGTTAAGTGATTTTTCAGTATTACATCCATCCTCATCTTTCTTTCGTTTAAATCAAGAAGAATGGAATGAAGCAACAAGGAAATATCCAGAACTATTACAAGATAGTGATATTACATATGAAAAGCATTCAGCATCAGCAGCAACTAACATAGGTGGTGATCTGTATATGGATAATTCATCAGTTTTGGAACAATTTGAGAGATTTTTTAAATTACTTCAATTCAAAAAGGAATTCAAAGATCATTGGTTTGAGGTTTTCGTGGATACCGCGAGAACACACACCAAAAGACAGTATAGCCTTCATGACTTTGGTAAAAGTCCAGGCACCCGTTGTCCAGTACCAACAATTGAATTCATTGACGACAATAATGTGAAACAAACTGTAAATTGTTATTTTACTTCTGGAAATTTAAAAGGACAGTCAAAAGGACTTTTAAATATTGCATTGGATCTTGGTATACGTGTGCCTGTGACTTGATGAATTGAAAGCTCTCTTACTCAGACAACCTGCATTTAAAAACGTAAGAAAAACAGATTAGAATTAAAGGAGTTTCTTGTTTTCATCTAAAAGGTTTCTCTTCGAATTCTATTGATTTTGTAGGTTACAAAATTAGAAAAGTTAGCTTCGGAATATGGTGTAAAAGTTTTATATGGGCCGAACTATCATTGTGAATTAAATCCTATCGAGGGTATGTGGTGCCATATGAAAAGATACCTGAGAAACCACAATGATCAAAGTTTTACTAGAATAATTTCATTAATTAATGATTCACGAATTAATTTTGAAGAAAAAGAAATATACATGAAATTGTGTAGAAGATTTTGGAAAACTCTCACTGCTTATGAAGAAGGAAAGGACTATAAACATGTTCTACAAATGTTTTCTTCTAATCTTTGTAAAGACAATATCGTATCTCACCGTAAAATAGTCCACAGTAAACTGAATAGTTAGTGCGTTTTACTTTTAATACATGTTTAATTTATACTCACATTAGTCAGATATATTTTAGTTTTATAATTGGTTTTATATACTCAAGATACCTTATATTTTAAAGAACAAGAAGAATTTCGTAAGAAGAGATTAAAAAAGTTTGAAATCACAAATAAACTCACAATCATGTACGAGATATGGCACAAAGTTTTCCAGAGACCTTCCAGAAATCACCTGGAGATCTTGAAAATGTTTTCATTAGATTTAGCATCGTTTCTTAGCATCGTCTCGAACCAAAGATATATCGATCCCGTTTCGCGCCCAACAAATATGTTTTGGTGTTGAACCTTGAAATACAGTTTTCTAGATGCAGTTTTCCACGGTAAATAAGAAAAATATAGTTTCACGGCTTCGAAATGAGGTCGAACCAAGTTATTCAGTTTTTAAAAAAAGTTAGTGGTTTTCTAAAAAAGAGATTCGTCAAGTTTTTTGAATTTTTTCCACTGATAATGTGAACTGGGAAGCTTAAAAACCAGATAATCTTGCAAAATGGAAAAAAAAATTCCAGAGATCGGGTTTCTAGAGGATCTTTGGAAAACCAGCTCCGTTCTCAGAAAACTAACATACAATGTTAGTAATTTTTTTTGCATGCGTAGATAGTCCGGACGTTACTCTACAAAATTATGCAAGTTCCGGCTCTCCAGCTGTCGTCGTTCGGGCAGGGCTCGCTTTCCCCGACCACGTGTCTATCTCCGAGCAGACATCTCTGGGAATCTCAAAATGCCATGGACTATAGGTCATCGACTACGCTGAGCATAGTAGCAACATTTGTTTTGGTGTAGAAATGAATATAACCTCGCCACAGGCATTGTTGTGAGAAACCGGTTTTTCGCCTGTTACTACCAAAAATTAAAATCCTTATATCTCGATCAAATCTCATGCTGACTCAAAGAAATTTTCCGCAAATGCTCAGGCCAGCTCATAAAGCATAATCGAAGACGAAAAAGGTGAATGTGAGCTGGGCATTGGCTTAAGGTTTTTCAGAAAAAAATGCCTCTGGCGAAGTTATATTCATTTCCCGGCTGGAGAGCCGGGACTTGCATAATTTTGTAGAGTAACGTCCGGACTATCTACGCATGCAAAAAAATTACTAACATTGTATGTTAGTTTTCTGAGAACGGAGCTGGTTTTCCAAAGATCCTCTAGAA